TCCCACTGTCGCCAAAGTGCTGCTCATAGGGGGTCATATGATTGTTGGGTTTTTCTCTGTATCTATGAAGCGCCTTGAGGTGACTTTTGTTGTGATTTGGCGCTATATAAATAAAATTGAATTGAATTGAATTAAGTAAAAAAAGGCCTCTGTTATCTGGAGCTTTCTAAAAATATGCTAACAGTAAAATTCAACTACATTTGCTTTAGCAATTTTATGACAATGATAAAGGAATGGATTTTTAGGTTTATTTAATGCTATTCATAATCACAAACATAGGCGGGACACTGCTCGTGTGAAGGAGCCTTTTGTTGTCTTGTGAGGTGTTTTCTCTGAACAATGTTTATCAAAAACAAGCGCTGCTCTCTTCACTTTCTCTCAGTGCTTTTGTAAAATAGCACAGATACTTGATAGATAATGGACTTGCTGCCATCTTTGTAGCGTGAGTAAATAATTCTGTGTAATTTCAGAACCAGAAACTCCATCAATATTATTGGCCAAATATCTGTCCCCACTGTGTCTGGTTGTGGGAGCTCTGCTGTTTGTATTCTACAGTCCAGCTGCAAGGTAATCCATCTAAGCTTTGGAATGATCGCATGTCTGATGAGGATAATGTGCCTCTTATTCATATTTTGTATCTGTGTGGCAGAATGAAGATAAAAACTCTGTCCCACACTCCATCCCCGGCTCCTTTCTTTCAGCCTCTGTATCAGCAACATAAAGGTGATCTCCAGGTGAGGAGATAACATGAGTGATTTCTGAAGGAGTTTTTGGTTTTCATGCTTACGTTTAGCTTAATTTTAACTTCTGTTAAAATGAATTAAGTGCAGGAATCCTAACATAAGGGTTACAATGGAAGCACAGTGCAAAATGACACATTAGAAATGAGATGTAAGAAGACCACGTAATTAATGATAGATGTGTATAAGCTTTATACACATCTATCACATAGTAATGATAACTGCACAGTGGATTGGTCAAGGTCCATGGGTAGGCAGATAATCTGCTGGTTACCCCCAACAGGAACATCTCTGGCATCCTTATTTATTTGATGTGTCAGTCAAAGACAGTGTTCATGGTGTTTGTGACACTTTAGTAACATTCTGATGCTGCAAAAAATGCGAATACCAGCATATTGTCAAACTAGAAATGCAAACATGTTGAGTTTAGTGTAAGGATGTGTTCTGTCTATCACGTTGACCATCTGGTAACTGGTGATAAAAGAAAGCATTCAGCAAAATAGGATTTTGACAGTTCATCAGTCTTACTGAAATAAACCCAGTGGCTCGAAAGCAAACCCTCAATTGTGTGACGCGGAGCTCCAGATCTTTCAAAGGATAAATAAACTCTAACTACAAGAAGTGACTTTAGATAAAAAGTCGGTGCATCACTAAAACATTCGTCCTGTGCTAACATATTCATACCAAGTTTTATGGCAAATCACACAGTTTTTGCTAACACGATTCAGCTAAAAACAGTTCATGGAAGCACAATACTCAACTCTGCACTAGAAATATGAATTGAAGAGTTCACGGCAATCCCCTCAGAAGCAGAATGAAACCTTTCAGTCAGAGCAGGAGTGGATGGCCCAATGATAACAAACAAGCATGAGAAGAAGTCTGTTTCTGTTCATGTAGCGGTTCTACAAATGTCTCTCCTTGAGTTGGTTGTTAGACTTTATGATACTGTGTATCTGGCTGCTGTGAGAGAAAGCTTTCACCGGTCAATAGGACCAGAAATGAACCACTCAAATATGGTTGCAATGACAGATGGTAAAAATTGCAAGTAAAAAAATAAACACCCTAAGTCAAATTTGTAACGGCAGCATGTTACCGTGACAAACCATTAAACATCTATACTGCATTGGTGCTTCATATTCTGAGAGTGCAGGTAGTACACAAGTGTGCTTTTTTCTACTGTGTCACACCTGACGCATCTTCATTTTGTTTAATTTGCAGGAATGGCTTTCACCGAAAGGTAAAAATGTACTAACGCACAAAGCCGATGAGGGCATGATAAGTGATAGAGTGGCTGTTGTGCCAAAACCCAAAACGAAGGACCCAGAAGAGACCCAGACCTTCCTAAACCCTCCAGTGATTCAGCTGGCATTCCCTCAGTGCCAGACCTCCTATGTTGGCCTGCCTGGGATGGATATGGCTCCTGCTCCTATAGTTATGGTCTGTCCAACTAACACCTCTTATACTCAGCTCCCCTGCTCCATCTGGGAGAGGAGCAGGGAGGCAGAGATTGCCTCCTCTCCACCTGAAGATGTCCTGGAGATCAGCTGTGTTGACTCTGGCTGCAGCTTTGAGGATGTGACACAAAGCCCAGAGTGCAGTTTACCAAGCAGTCCTGTTGTTGACACTCTAGCACCATGTTACTGTAGTGATTACTGCATTCTTAACAAAACAGCTGAAGGTGTTGTTCCTGTTTTATTGTCTAAAGAGAGCAATGGAAAAGTTTCATCTGATTCCCAGCATAAGCGCGAGAGTTAAAGCAGGAAATGGTTCTGTCGGTTTGTTTGGAGCCAGAGAAATTCATAAGCGTGGTGGCACTGACAGCCACGGCTGTAGACCACATGGCAGGAGAGACTCCATGAAGTGGCTTGAAGCTGGCCAGTTCACTTGTTGCAAGTTGCTGTGTGTTTTTGATAGCAGCGGGTTTGTGCTTGAACTTCATACATTTATATCTGTTCAAATGTATGTGATTATCATTTTTTATGACAAAAACATAAAAAACACCATATAACATATAGAGTAGGCTTCTGCTTTGGCTGATTTGCATATGTTAACACTTGACGCATTCTGACTGCAGAATGTTAAGACGTGAATATTTGTGAATTCCACCAGAGCTTCGGATGATATGATTTTCTGTAGCTGTATGGGGAAAGTGTTTTGTTCTGTTTTTTCAATTTAATCTACCTTATTTACAATATGTTTATACTTTGCATTTAGCTTTTACTAAGAAATCGACAATAAAAGAGATAAAGATCCATATCTGTGCTTAAATCAGTAACTTTGTTCTTGTTTTACTGACTTGTGAGAGATGTGTTTGGATCTTTCCTGGATCATTATCCACCTCCAAGTTGTTGTGCAGGTGATGCAAATATTCAGTGGAAACAATTGTTTTGAAATTTTCCTAAGGGAACAATAAAGTGTAACCTCGATACGAAAGTTTCACTATTTATTTCTCCAGTCAACATAACCAGTGCTGTTGCTGTGGGTCTTTTAGCCTGCAGATGACAGTCACCATGGTGGACTGGGATGCTTTGTAACAGCCATGGAAATTGCTTTGTCATTTTATTCAGCACACATTCAGGTTTTGTTCCTTTTAGTAGCTGCAACATGTTACTACATTTGGTACATCTTGGAAGCATTTGGAAAAAGACAAAAAAAAACTACCCACATTATGAAGGTGGTTTCTATCGTGAACTTGAACAGCTATTAAATAGATTCTAAAGTAAAGGTGGTTTCTTTAACTGTCACTTCTAAGGTGAAGAATGATGTTAAATGTTACTCTTTTCATACACATGCGTACAGCACACGGTGACAAATTTCTCCAGGTTTTCGCACCAAAATGAGATCATTCAGAACAACTTTCTATTGATTTTCAGTTATTTCTACCATTTAATGGGATAAGTGGCCCCAAATAATGCCAGCAAAGTTCCCACTCACAGCATAACAGAGCCTCCAGAGTCCCCCATAGTACTGATAGATTTCTCGTCTCTAATTAGTATGTAGCTTGGGCAGCCACACATATGTACCAAAAAAGTCCTTCTAGAAACAATGATCGCACTTGCAGACCATCTAGGGGCAGAATTATTAGTTTTAGTGTATTTTATGTTTGTTTTAACTTTTGTTTTTAAATCACGTTTGTTTCAGTTCGTTTCCAGAGTGGATTTTCTTGTTTCAGTTAAGTTATTTGTTTGAGAATATTTAGTTTTAGTTAGTTCAGTTTTAGTCTTCTTAATCATTATCGTATGGAGAATACATGTCAGAGGTAAGATTTAGGAAAATCTGTAGCTATTACAATAAAGAAAAGTCTAACTTTTGAAATTAAGTGAAGGTAGTTTTAATGTTTTAGCTTTTTTAATTGTATTTTTTAATAAACTAAAATATTATTCACATCTAGTTTTAATTTTCACCTTAGCTTTAATTGACTATTACAACTTTGATGAGGGCATATACAATCCATTTGTAGAATCACCATCAAATTGACTTTAGTCAAAAATAAGGTTTTGATTTTTTTCCCATCCTGAAATTATATTTCTACCATCATTCACTGATGTTGTGCGAGTGTGTTAAAGATTTAAACTGAAAACTACAGTTCCCTGTGACTCCTTCGGCGGCTGCGGCCGAGCAGACGTTCAAACACCACCGAAGAAGAAGTCATTCGGCAGAACGGGGTGATTTAAATGCGGAGGTTTAACTGAACCAAGCTTTATATCGTATTTCTGGCCTCTCTAAGAATTTCAACACCAGACTGTGGCTGTAGATACTTTCCTTTCCCCCGGTGCTGCTGTCATCTGTTGGCGGCTCGTCGTGTGAGTAACTTCGGGAAATAACAAGCCCGACTTCTGCGGTTGTACACCATATTTGGCCGAAGAGGAAGCCGCGGCTGTAAACACTGTGACCCACGTTATCTGCGGCACCTGAAACAGCAGGGTGCGGGAGCACCAGAGGATGGTGGCCGAAAGGGACAAAGACATAAAAAAAAAAAGCTGGGGTCCAAGTCAGACAAAAGTAAAAGTGAGCTGAAGGTGCTGCGGCTTTAGGTGGGCAGAGTGCGGCAGGATGAACTTTCCTGCTCTGTCAGCAGCGCTAAAAACAGCCGAACAACCACTGAGTCAAGCCTGGTGGTAAGTACAATGAGTCGATATTGAATTAGATGGAATCCACCCACTCATTTTTCTATTCATCTATCTGTTCATCACATGTAGGTGCAGCTGCTCCTGCACAAATTTCCCCCAAATGCAATGACACAGTGGCGCCTTTTCCCCGTCAACACGCCCACTCTGGTGAGCCCTCACCTGTTAAACAGGACCCCAGTGGCTATCATTGATTGCAGGTGTGTGAGGCCAGTTTGCTGGACCAGCAGGGAGGGTAAGCATCGAGCC